CGGTACTAATCCTTCCACGTTCGTTCCGCAAGTTCTGCCGCGCCCGACTGTTCCGTACCATCTGCGGAATCCATGGCAAAGGGAGAGAGAGAGAGAGAGAGAGAGGAAGGTAAATTTGTAATTTGTCGTTAAAGCGCGCGGTACTCCGGCGCGATCGATACTGCGTCGCGATTTAACCCTTTGCGGGCGAATATTCTCTCTCGATTCCGATTTCCGGCAGGTAGAAGCAGGTATTTTCCATGTAAAACTGGGTAATACATTAAAAACTTAAATATTAGAATGAAGGGTTGAAGAGAAATATGTACCGTTCTGGGAAAATTGTATCGATGGTAATTGAACATGGTATATTAGGTGTACGCAAAAGTTTTAGTCTTTTTTCAGCCCTCTAATGTAATCACTTCAAATTGACATATTTTCCCGCCGTTTTGTATTTTCGCAAGATTGGAGGATTTCTAAAACACCATTTATTATGACCACTGGTGCAGATAACCTTTCGCATCCCACCGAACGCACAGAAGGACCTTTCCGCTGTGGATATTTGCTTTCGCCACTGAGGTAGAAGGCTGTTCGCGCTCCACCCGCGAATGTCTGCATTTAGGATTATCATACATGATCCACCTTTTATCGCGAGTAACAATTTTGGACAAAAAATCTTTTTCGCGTTGTCTGGAGAGCAATGAAACGCACGTACTCAATCGGCGGATAATGCTGTCTTGCGCCGATATTCACGTGGCATCTATTTTCGGAGTTTCTGAATTTTTCCCGTCTCATGCAATCGCTTTGAAAGCATCGCCTGGCCAACTCCAAGCTGTTCTACAAGTTCTATGTGCGTTTGGGAGAGCTTTTCATTCAGCGACGCTTCCAGATTGTCGGTCTCAAGCTTTCGCAGTGTTCCAGAGTGCAAGCGATCATTCACGTCAAATTCTCGCCGTCTTTAAAGCAACGAAAACAACATTTGCACGTATTGTGAGACGCAATATTTTTCCCAAGGACAGGGCAAGTGGATTCACATGCCTTAGCAGCATCTTTTCCTTGCTGAAATTCATATCGAATGTAATGTCGAATATCAAGTTTTTCGTCGCTATCAATTGTGCCGACTGTTATTTTTAAGGTTACGGGCATCAGTGAATTATAACGAATAGCGTTTTAGAAAGTTTAATGGCAACCTTGTAAGCGGCGGAAAAATATTTCAATTTAAAATTATTACGTTAGAGGGCTGAAAAGAGACTAAAACTTTTGCATGCACCTGATATATATTGGAATGCGAATAGGAGACGATTGATTGGACTTTGCGTTGGCGTCTTTTATTTACTCGCCGCCATAACAGCGGCATTCGTCCTCAAAGGACGAGAACACACTCCACGCTCTCCGCGAGAATCTCGCAATTTGCAGACGTCAGACGTATTGCGCGACTTGCGCGTCCTATTTGACCGGAACGGACTGGAAGCTGCGATAACTTGCCGCTAATGGAGATACAGGAGAAAAAGAAAAAAGAAATACACGCGGTAATAAATAGACGGATCCGGAGAGTATCGAGCTCTCGTCCGCGCGGCGCGAGAACGACGTATTGGGTTGGCAACTAAGTGATTGCGGATTTTGTCGACAGATGGATTTTACACTTTCTTTTGTTTCGTTAACGTGTTCAAAGTACCTAACCTATATTTTTTTCTTATTGTTTGGACTTCTACCTTTCATTTAGTACAAAAATTATATCGATCAGTTGTTTAGTTTTGTTTTTATCCCAATTTAAAAATGGAAGAGCGAGACGTGCACTTGAGACATATTTTATTGTATTATTTCCGAAAAGGCAAGAACGCATCGCAAGCACACAAGAAGTTATGCGTCGTATATGGGAATGAAGCCTTGAAAGAAAGGCAGTGTCAAAATTGGTTTGCCAGATTTCGTTCTGGTGATTTTTCATTGAAAAATGCTCAACGATCTGGCCGTCAAGTTGAAGTCGATGAGACCCATATCAAGGCCATTATCGATTCAGATCGTCATAGCACAACACGTGATATTGCAGGGTAACTCAATGTGTCGCCTACATGCATTGAAAAAAATTTAAAAAAGCAAATTAAAAATTTTGAATTTTCATTCTTATTTAAAATCCGCAATCACTTAGTTGCCAACCCAATAGAAATAGAGAGTAAGCGCGGGGTGTGTCGCCGCTGGCTGGCACCGTCGTGTCGCGTCGCGTCGCGCCCAAATAATCTCGTGAACTTTTTTCCTCGCTGCTGCTGCCGCTATTACGGAACACCGGAGTGCCGTGTGCGCGAGCAGCGATTAAAAATAACGCCGTCATAAATACATGCGAGCGCGCGCGCGCGCGCGTCGCCGATCGATTAATCGGGCGAGATCGTCGGGCGAGCTTCCCGCTGCGGGAGATTCTCGCCCGCGCCCGCGCTATATCGGCTCTCGCGCGTTGCGTGCCGGTCTTTTCGTTTTGCAAGCCGCTGCGAGCCGCAGCCTTAACCTTTGCATTTAATTTACGAGCTAGCGCTTCCTGGCCGAGGGAAAGCCCCGATAAGGCGGAGTCGTTGAGATTAAGTGCACGCGCGAACGCGCGAACGATACAGCCTCTTAATTAGAACGATCTGATGGTCCGATTGCGCGCGGCGGATTCGAGCGGACGTCTTGGCAGCGCGGACTCTCGCGAAATAACACCGTTCGACTGAACGAGCGAGCGCCCGAGGGCGTCCAGGAGGTACGCGCCTACCGTATTTGAACGTTAGACCGGAGAGTAGGTATCGAGATTAGATATCCGGGTGAGAGTCGGTTGTCCGCAGCCGCGATGTATACTTGAAGCAGCGCGAGAACGACCGCCTCTGATTCTTCGTGGGCGAACGCAGAGCGTGAGGCCACACATCGGCGTGACGAAGTTCGATAGGCGCCAAGGCGTGCTCGACACGCGGCGACGGTCTCGATATGTGCGCATCCAAAAAAGAAAGGAATTTCAGAACAAGCGGATCATCTAAATTTTAGAGGATTTTATTCTTACATATAGCCTCCGCAGGATTCCTCGAAGATCAAGAGAAAAATGTTATAAACACGTTATTCTTAAAGTTAGAGGCATTATATATATATATATATATATATAATGCAAATCTTATTGATTTTAATATAAATTTCCTCTTATAAACAGATTTAATCTTTTTTTAAGAGAATTATTATTTACTCTTACTGTATTTTATTCTTACTGGTTATACTAGTTAATTTGAAAAAATTATTATGATGTACAGCGAAAAGTAATATATATATATATAGATGTACTTCTGGCTCCAGTTCTACAAATAAGTAGGCACGATTGAAAAAAGATCATCATAACAAATAAATTTCCGATTAGTTTTGTTATGGACTTTATAGCTACAAAGATATTCATCATAACCGATTGTATGAAACATAGTTGAAAGAAAGAATATATTATTCAACTTCTTGCCATACCCGACTAGAAATTTATCCCATGGTCCTGATCAGATTAATCTCATTTGGACATCAGGTCCTAATAAGGTAATACTATCGGGTCCTAGTAAGTCATGTCACGCAGCAATTAATCATTATCAGGACCTTAATAAGGATTCATAGTCAGGTCCTTATTGAGTTACCTTATAGAATCCTTATTACGTTTTTTTTCTTTTCTTCAAATTATGGCTCCTGATTACTCGCCACGGCTATATTGGATGATGACATTAGAAATAAGAGATGACACGCTGAAAATTCATGTTATTTCCAAATAAAAAGATAATTATAAATACAAATAAAAAATATGCATGAAGTAATATTTTAGATCGCTTGAGCATACTTGTAAAATGTTTCGGAAAAGAAACATAAAATGAACATCATGAGATCATAAAGTATCACAAGGTGACAAGACATAAAGTAGTGTTAAAGAGAAAAGTTGCGTGTCACGTTAATTTTACAACTATTTATTGACTACTGAAGAAAGGATAGTTTCTATAACATTTTACAAATATATTCAAGTGATCTGAAGTGTTTTTTCAATGCAAACATCTTTATATTTGGAAGTGACATCCAAAAATTGTTTTATTAAAACTTGATAATGCAAATCATATTAGATACAATGAATAAGATCCCAACAAGGATCTGATTAACTGAACGATATTATGTCATACACTAGATTGGTACATTAAGGTCCTAATGTGGACCCAATTATTATAACCTTATAAAGGTCCTCCTTACTCATTTATCGTTAGAACATTATAAGGACTGACTTACTTAGGATTACCTTTCATTCACCCTATTAGGTCCTTATCAATGTGTTAGGTGAACCTGTTCAAAATTTCTAGTCGGATAGATTATAAAGTTTATCAGACTAAATATGGGTAAATTATCTTCGTTACAGCAATACACATACCTTTTTTAAAAAGCGTTCCAAATATTTTGACCCATATGGTTGCTTTTTCGTTCATATCTGAAGGTAGAGCACGAAAGTAACAAAAGAAGCTGACATTCAAATCAACATATTTCTCTTTGTATAAGAGGAAAATTAATTGATATAAGAGGAAATCCTCTTGAAATAAGAGGAAAACAGTTGGAATAATATCAAATAAATTTCAGATATATAGAATAACTCGTATTAATCGCTTTATCGAAAGAGGAATCTTTTTTCTGTAAACGACTTTACTCAGAATATGAGACTGCGGGAAAAATCACTTTACAAGTATTGGGTGAGTGCAAAAGTCGTGCGGAGTTTGTGAGTAAAAGTCACACAGTGATTAGGCAAACAAAAATCTTTATTCAATCAATGATATATTCTCCATCGTTTTCTATAATCTTTTCCCAACGTTCTGGCAGCATACGGATGCCTCGATCATAAAAACATAAAAAATAGAATTCTTTTCTTTTGCGTGTGCTGCTCTCTCACATAGACCATACATCTCTCTATTCCCGGCGACGGCGACGGCGTATAGCCGCTGTGAAACAAGTGCCTCGTCTCTCTGGCCGCACGATGTAGATTGTAGATCTTACGCGAACTTTTGCAGGCCGTCGGCTCCGATGACCGCAACGGTGGCGCGAGGCTTAGGTGAACGCAGCCCTCTCAACAATCGACAATCAATCTCGTGTTCCGAGCTGGCTCTCGTGTCAAGAATATCGTCCACCGTGAAGGCACGCGACGCGTGACGCCCAGGTGCGAATTATACCTGCCGCGGTAAACAAACAACGCGCTGCTCTCGTCGGCTTTTCCAAAGCGACACGAGCGCTAATCTCCAACGCAAATGCAGACGAGTCGAGTAACGTCTCCCCCGAGCCAGCGCGAGTCGAATGCTGCTCGCTCGAATGCGTGAGCTCGTAACGCGCGATATCGAGCGCAGGCATCCTCCAGGCAGCCGCACGGATGCGATTTTTCAACGTGCCGAAGCTCCGGAAAGTGCTTGAGAGACCGAGCGAGTGTGTGTGTGTGTGTATGTGTGTGTGTGTGCTCGAGGTGACAGTCGCGCGTCGTTCGGCGCGTCGCGGGGCCCGAAGAGACCGAGAAAGCCGAGCGAGCCGAGACTAAATAGCAGCGTCGAACAGTGCAGAATTAATGACGCGCAATTAACCGGAGCGTAATCACGTTCGCGAGGTGCTGCTCGCGCGACATCATAGATCAACCGCTCGATATAATTTTCCAAACCGATCCGATTGTCATCCCCCTGCGCGGAAATGAGGAGCGGTCCGGCGCGAGGAGGCGGAGGAACGAGAGGACCAAGAACCGCGCTCACGCTCGGCCTGGCATGAGACTCGCCAGCGTGCGACGCGATTTCGCTTCGGAGAAGCGAACGACGGCGAGGCCGCGAGGAGGCGCGATTCATCGCGCGCGCGAACTGCTTCGTACACGCCAGCGCGACTGAACGAAGCGCGATAATAATCGGGCGATAATAACGATAAATACGCGCGCCGCCGCGTCGGGGAGTCCGCGGGGGTTGCTGGCGATGGGGAGGCGCGGGCGGGCGGCGGAATCGCCCCGCGGGCGGAAAGGTGCGAGCGTGTCCGCTTCTCCGGCGATTTCCCGCCTCGCGGCTCGTTCGCGGGCGTCCGCTCCGCGCGCAGCGAATTAAGGATCTCCGCGAGGGTCTCACACCACGCGAGCGAATAGCCGCAGGGGAAGGGAGAGGGGAAGTTCGCGTGCGATGGCTCCGAGGGAAACCCGCGCGAGAGGAACGCCGTTGGTGGTGCGTTAACGGCGATCTAGCGCGGCCGGACCGAGTCCTGTTGTGCGGGATTCCGAGCGCGCGCGCCCCGCGACGGTGGATTAAGTAAGCCCGTCTCGCGCGACCAGCATGTCGCATCGGGCTTTTTCATTGGCGAGGCGGCCGCTTCTCTGAGACAAAAGGAAGCCCCAGTCGGAAGCTCGGCTGCTCGGCCGATGCTCGTGAATCCGCTGCTCGGTTATTTCGACGAAGAGTAGACTCGATCTCGTGCGCGCGGAATCATGAAGACCGCGCGGCGTCATCGCGGCGGACCTTGACCGAGGGTGAGCCGATAATCGTCTCGTTAGCCCGACACGCTAGCGCGAGGCGATGTGAGACCAAACGTCGCATGATAATGAGGATCAACGGAGCAAGGATCGCGCTCAGGAGCCGAGGTGTTCACTGACGAGAGAGAGAGAGAGAGAGAGAGAGAGAGAGAGAGAGAGAGAGAGAGAGAGCCCAGGGCGCACGCTCCGCTGCGGGAGAGAGAAACGCTGAGACTTCTTCGACAATGCGTGCGAGTTATGCGAATACGAGTAACCGGCAATCGAGCGTTTCGCACGGAGAGGGCTGCAAGCGCGCTTCCGGCAGCGTTCTCGGATTGTCAAGGTAACGAAGTGCGACGGGGAATCTCTGTCATGGTATCTGAGAGGTAAATCTATACGTCGAGAGCGACGACCTAAGGACGAGTCGAGCGTGGCTCGAGTCGGCGAGTTAGCGCGCGGTACGTTAAATGTGTCGCGACGAGGATCGTTGATGGCCGTTCGATATCGCTTCGATTCGTCGTGTGACTTTCAGTGTGCGAGCCTGCGAGTCAGTATACGTGAGGTAATAAGAGAGAAAGAGAGGGAGAGAGGCGGAGAGGGAGGAAGACAATTTCCGCGGCAATCCGCGAATTAGATCGTTTTGTCGCGACGAGAGCTCGGAAAAAGGGAGGAGGAATCAACGTCGAGGACGTTGAGAATTTCACTCGCTCGTGTACTGAGGAACGCAGAGGAGCGTGTTGGACCGCTTCGCGACGGCAGGATTACGCTGCACTGCACGTGCTGTTTTTAATAAAGGATCTCCACGAAGCAGAAGAAGAAGCAGTATATCCGAGACTCGCGGCATATCGTATTGTAGATATCGCGCATGGTAGAATCTCACAAAACATATCCAATTATATGAGCGCAGCGAGAGAGAGAGAAAAGGGGGAGTGTAATCTCCATCCAGTCGGACGGAGAGCACGCTGACGCCGTTCGCGACGAGTCGCGCAAGCCTTGCAGAGGACAATCTTTTGAGTACTAGAATTTATACTAAGGCGTGAAAGAGAGAGAGAGAGAGAGAGAGAGAGAGAGAGAGAGAGAGAGAGAGATCGAATCGAAAGTATGAGACCCGCGCCCTCGGCCGGAAATGGAATCGCGAGGCGCCACGTTGACGAGCCTAAACACGAGACAAACGAGCGAGCCCCGCGATTCCCGCAGGAATTAAATGAACGATCCGAGTTCCGGCGGCCGGCTGGTCGCGCGTCGCTTTTAAGGAAGCAGCTAAGAAGCTGCAGAGCACTCCACGCGATAGAAGCGCACTAGAGGTCCCCGTAGGTTGGCGACACCCACCAACAACAACCGGCCGCGTCTCCGGAGCACGAAGGGCACTCACGTCCGCACTCATGTCGAGACTGTATTTCGTCGCGTCGAGCAGCGGCGACTCGGAGAGCCAACAAAGGAAATAGTACATCGAGTCGTCGTCGTCGTCGTCGTCATCGCCGTCGCTGCCGCCGCCGCCGCCGTCGCCGCCGTCGTCGACATTGTCGTCAGCATAATCGCATATATCGCGGCACTCGATTCTCGCTCGACCAGTCGAGCCCGAAGCCGGCTCGTCGGCGCCGCTGTCGTCGTCGTCGTCATCGTCGTCGTCGTCGTCGTCGTCGTCGTCGCCGCGAACGATCGCAGATCGACCGCGGCGGCTCGTGGGCGCGCGCTGCTGCTTCGCGCTGGGACTTCGGGACGAAGCTTGCTGCACAGCTGGCCCTGAATGTTTCGACGTTGAACGCGTTAGGGTGCCGAGGTGGGGGGCGCGTGGTCTTGCTGCCTGCCGTGCGCCGGCGGCGGCGGGGGTGGGGGTGGTGCTGCTGTCTCGGGGGCCACCCCCGAGGCTAAGAAGAGCTCCGCTTTGCTGAAGCATCAGCAATACCAGCAGCCGCAGCAGCAGAAGAGGGGCCAGCTGCACGAGCATCAGCTGCTGCAGTCGAAGACTCACCTGGAACAGCAGCAGCAGCAGCAGCAACGGCAACATCAGCAACAGTATCAACAACAATACCAGCAGCAGAAGCGTCTCTGCGTGGCGCACGTGAAGGAACGGGCGCCTCTCAGCGATCTCGACGAGGACCTGGACGACTTCGACGACGAGAAGGAGGAGCTCAGGACCGAGGAGGAAGATTACGCCAAGGAGGGCGGCACTCAGCACAGACTCAGTCCGCGACTGCACGACATCGAGGAGGAGGACGATGAGGAGGGTCGTAACGTGCGAGAGAGGTCAGTTGTCCACATCCGCCGGTCTGCATCGACCTCGTCGGGGTCCCAAGCGGCGGGGGCGCGTGCCATTCGTTTCTCTCTCTCTCTCTCTCTCTCCTTTCCGCTTTGCCTCGCCGCGATGGTCGATTGTATCTTTGTGGTGGTCACGTTCTGGGCTAAAGTCAGCGACGGGGTGAACAGCAGAGACTGTCAACCTTGTTAGATTTAGTATGAAAAATTTTCTTGTTTGAGAAAGGAAGTCACAGGAATCGGTGAATTTTGTGTCACTTCAGCGGCTGTCGCACAGCCGCTGAGAAGTTTCATGAAAATATTTAATATGTTTATTGCGAATTTTTACACACATACAGGGTGGCTCATTTTAATTTATTCACTCAAATATCTCGAAAACTTTGTTGACCTTTGAAAATTTTTAAATCATCAAATTAGCAAAAGTTGGGGGGCAATTGTTACAGCATTTTCTTGAGACCAAATAGAGTAAAAAAAGTTTAATATCATTTTTTCTTCCGACAAATAGCGAGATATCGTAACTTGAATATTGAAAAAGTTGCAAAGCTTTTTTGCAAATGTCTCAAGAAATATTATGCGAATAAAAAAATGTTTAAGAAATGAAAAGAATAAGAAAGACAAAAGATGTCCAAATTAATTGGTAGAGAAAGATGATATAATTGGAGTTTCCACTTAAGAAAAGTAATGATCAGTGAATAATATGCCGAAAGTGGCGCTATCTGTAAACAAAATAATATCGCTTATGCTCCCTTCGAAACGAAACAACTTTTGTCTGTTTCTTCATCTCTTTTATATCTTCCGAGATATCTGAATGGTCAAATTAAAATGAGCCACTCCGTACATATACCTACAAAATCGCAATAAATGTATTAGATATTTTAATACATTTTAATTATAATTTTCTCAAAGTTTTACCGATATACATATATGTATGTATTATATCGGTAAAACTGAGCAAATTATGATTTATTATTTTTACATCATTGTTTATTATTTTATTTATTATTTATTCCTATATTATTTTAAATTGTAATTAATTTCAATTTGTTTACTTTACCGTGAATTATGAAATTGATACTCGTTGCACTCGTTAAATCTCTCCAAGTATTTATATTAGATGATTGAGAATAATCGATTATGCTTCTTCAATCACCTCCAGACCCCTTCAGAGTCTCTCCTGCGCTCACGAAAATATGCCCAAGGTCTTTGACAGTATCTCGTCGCTGACAAAGTGCTCATAAGTACACACGATAAGAACAAATTACACCGTACCGCGGCGACGTGAGGCGAATAGGCGCGTGTGTGCGCGTTTCGTTTTACCCTCCTTCTTGCTTCATCGTTCCATTCCGCGGTCGTTACAAACGCGGCTGTTTATATTGCGCGATGGTTACGAGGTATCGTCGTACGATCGAGCTGCGTATAAACGAGCAGCGATATAACACGCGATATAGATCGCGCATCACTCAAATTTGTCGAAACAGGCCCTTCCGCGGTGCGTGGAAATAACGACACACCAGGCTGAACGGCGGACTGTGAACGTTCGCCGAAGGCCACGGTTGAGTAATAGTTGAGTAGCACTCGAGCATGATTGGAGCTCCGAGCCTCCGGTTACACCCCGTAACTCGGCGTGAAGCAGTCGCGCTCGATCGCTACTCGCTCGTTTCCTCCGCTAAATACGTCCAATTAGCGCGCGCGCGATCGTTGCGCAATCACCGCGCACGTTTACCGATTCTTCGAGTCTTCTTCCGCGCAGCCGCTAATCGGCGTTTCATTAACGCGAGCACGCGCGACTGTTACGTCGTGAATCATCGCGCAATGTGAACGAAACGGAAGCAGCTAATTGACGATTTAATTAAATATTCTCCTATGAGTATACCGATAGAGAATGCGTTAAATTTCACGATTAATTAATGACGCTCGCCCCCGCCCCCGCCGGTTCGCGCCCCACCCATCCACCCTCTATGAGTCGCAATTAACTGTTGGCGGCTTGTATTTATGCGTGATATTCAGGTATTATCAACGTTGCGCCAACTATTAGGTCTATTGGTAGTTAATTCTTTCCGGTGAAATAGCTTAGAGCGAAATTTGAAATTGAAATATCCTCCCGCTCGTTTGCGGTTTTGAAGTGTTGACATTTAACTTTTCGAAATGACATATGGTTTGACGTCTGATCAACAAAGAGCATATTCGATACGCGTTGCATTTTGCATTTCATCGAAACAAAAACACCTCTTGAACAGGCAAAATGATCCGTGTTGCTTATGATGAAAATGCTTTGACAGATCGCATGTACTGAAACTGATTTAAATGTTTTCAAAGCGGTGATTTTGATCTTCACGACTGACCAACCACGCCCCGGTCAGCCAGAAAACTTGAAGACGAGGAATTGTAAAATCTACCGAATAAAAATACGGCACAAACGCAATAGGAATTTGCGGAAAAGCTGGGAGCTTTTTCGGCAGTTGAGAACGTACGAAATTTCACCGATGACTTTACAGCCTCAAAGCCACCAAGTTTCTGTCGTGATGAGTCTCGGTAACTGCCCGATAAGTGGCGTAAAATTACTGATCACAATGGAGAATATTTCATTGATTAATCTTATTCTGTCGATTTTTAAATGAAGATTGAAAATTGTGGAAAATCGGAAAGAATTAACTACTAGACTTCGCATTTCGTCCTAGCATATTCTTCGTGAATAATTTGCCGACATCGCGGTCGAATCCCAACCGTCGTCGGCGGATTCAGCCGCGCGGCGTCTGCAGTCAGTCGGGAGAGAATCTCCCGACGGTTGCTTCTGCTTCTTCTTCTTTTTCTTCTTCTTTTTCTGCGTTACGTACAATCGCTGGAATTACCAGCGTGCCCGATCGAGACTGAGACATCTGTTGCTGCTGCGGGAATTTATTGTCGCTCAGAGAATGAACTTCTCTCGCGTTCGGTTACTTGAGCCGCGCGCGCGCGCGCGCGACCTCAGGCAGTTTTTCCAGCCAGGCTCACCGGCGTTTCCGTACGTCGCATGTTGTCGTCGTGCAGAGTGTCCGACGGTAGGTACGACGTCCGTCGTGTGTCGTAGATTAACCCAAACCCGGCAGAACTTTATTACTTTGCGAACAAGCGCGGACGATGCCGACTTATCACCGAGAGGTCAAGCGCAGACTTGGAGTTGTTGATTATATCGACTTAAGGGCTCAGAATTTCACCCGCTTTTTTCTTTTTTGCAAAGCGATGGAAGACTTTTTTTCTGTCTGCTTGGACAGGCGTCGTCATCGCGGATGTTCGTTCACCAATTTTTCGTTTTGGTGAACAACTCGATGAAATTTCAAGCAGTTGCTCGCAAGACGGCAGAGGAACTTTCGAGCCAATCTACACGCGACGAGAGCTTGACATGTCATCGTCAGACACCCTGACGAAACTAATCTCGACTTCTTGCGGTTCGCGCAGTCGCAGATTACCCGAGCAAACAACTGTTAGGGCATTCGTCATGACGCATAAGGCTCCGATAAGGCTTTTTAGGGCTAGGTTGCCCTAAAAAGGGATACCTCATTATTATCATATTAAGCCCCGAGATGGATTTTTCAGGGATACCTTAGATTTTACGAAATAAGGTTTTGATAAGGAAAACTGATTAGAAAGATCTTTTAAGAGGATGCTTTAGATATACAAAATCGCGTTTTGTTATAGAAAATTAATAAGGTCTGAAGCGTGTAATAAAATTGTCATAGTTTAGTATTGTTTTAGTAGGTACTCTATCTGGTTTTTTAAAGATTTTTTTAATTATGCCGGAATTAAAAACTAATTTTATTAGTTTTATTAGTTGCCATATTTATTAGTCTCCTCCAAGGATTTTTCTAGTATTGCTTTCGTTTTGAAATGCAGCAAACTTTAATAGAAACAGTAGCAGGATTTTTATGTGTAAAGAATGCTATATTTTATTATAAAGTATGCTATATTTTTAAAATAAAAAATTCTTGTTTTATACTAACAAGATTATAAAGAAATTAAGGAATTACAATCTAAATTTCTTGGAATGAAAAGAACGAATATTTTTACTCAAGCGATAACAAAAATATTTTCTTATAAGGCCCTATTAATACTATCTTATAAGACCCTGTTGATATTGCCTTGTAAGGATCCAAAGGTTAAACCATTTTTGTTACACATCTTGTAGGACCCTTGTTTTTCTATCTCTACTAGGGCCCGATTAATGTCGG